TTTTTAAGCTATTATTAGCAAGTTGTCAGTCAGCCAGTAATTTGTATCACTTTGGTATAATGAGCATTTAAATATTTAAAGAGAGAATGTTCCTTTCTAACACCCCCTTCCTTTTTGTGCTAAAATAATAATGGTTTTAATCAAAAGTAATTTGTATTAATATACATTTTGCCTCAGGTGTTCAGAGCGGTTTTCAAGAGCAGTGGTGAGACATGTTAAGTAATTCAGTTTATTAATACAGATAACTACTTCTATCCTCAACAGCAGCAGAAATGGAGGCTGCTTTTGTAGCCAGATCATTTTGGCTCTCCTCTTGGCTTCTGCAAGATGATTATGTTGTAGGAACTGAGGTGAGTTCCAATAATTTTAGGTACCTAAGATTATAATTCTCTAAATGACTATTTTGAACCCAATTACTCTGTCTTCTCCTTAGAGAAAACTCCTCAGTTAAGCACTCTGTATCACAAAAAGAAAAAAAGCACAAGACCTCTCTCCAGAGTGAGCCTGGAGCATGGGACAGGTCGTGTTTGTTAAATCAGCCAGGCAGCTATACCTTGCCATTATACCTCTGAGGGTGGCTGGGGGACATTTCCTGACACAGTTCAAGTCTAGATGTTCAGGTACACACAGTCTGCAGCTGTTCATCATCACATAGAGCTCATAAAACAACTGTCTTGGCCACTTACAGAAAAAGAAAGTCTTTCCAAATTTATATGATGTATGACATCTTACAATGTGTATTAAAAAAAAAAAAAAAGAGAGAAAGAAAGCAGAGGCATGTCCCCTAAGCCTTTCTGATGCACATCTCTAAAACTTCCTGGGATTCATAGTGTTTCCTCTGTATAACTATCTGAAATCCTATGATTCACATTAATCATGACAAAAATCAGAAAAAAATAAACCCCAACTACTTCAGAGGTAAAATTAACATTTTTCATTCCCCAGCACGGTATTATATTCTGTCTTCCCTAGAACTGGCACTTTATACCTGATATAACTCACACTTCTAACGTTTAATTTCAGAACTGTTTTTTAAATACTTTCAAATTGAATGCCTTCAGTACTAATGCATTCAACTCTCACCTGGAGCACGAGCACGAGAAGCTCTGCACAGTATCTTGTGAGAAAGAGTACCTAGATAGCTTTGTTTCTTCTCTGCTTGGCTTTATCCCCATTCTAATCACATACTTATTAAATTCCCTTCCATGAAGCGCACACACAAAGCCCACGACAAGCACGTGTGAAGGACAAGGCACAGGAGGAGGGATGGAGAGCAGCCTTCCCCAGGGATGAAGAGCTCGTTGGTGTGGACACGCTAACAGCGACTGCCATCTGCCGGCTAGAAAAACGAAATTTAAAAAAATTGTCCCTTGAAGAAGCCTCTCGATCCGAATTCAAACTTTGATGACTCTTTTTGGCCCGCTAGAGGAAACGTGTCTGCCTGTTGGCTTCCTTGGGTGCAGTGCAAGGGGCAAAGCTGCGAGGCTGCAGACCACAGCCAGCCCCAACCCACTCACTTGGGAGAAATATGAAGGTCAGGTGGACCTCAGGGTAGCGTTGACATCTTTTGTTGTAGCTCACAGGACGCTTAGAAGATCCAGATCTAACATACAGTGCACGAAAAACTAGCTGCCCAGCTAGTTCTCTCCTATTGGAAGAGTTTCCAGGCAGCTAAAGATGGGATGTGGCATTACAGAGAGGGGTGGGTGAAGTACCCCAAACAGATCATAGAATGGTTTGGGTTGGAAGGGACCTTTAAAGGTCATCTAGTCCACCCCCCCAACCCTGCAGTGAGCAGAGACATCTTCAACTAGATCAGGTTGCTCAGGGTCCTGTCCAGCCTGACCTTCAAGGTTTACAGGGTGGGGCTTCTACCACCTCTTTGGGCATCCTGTGCCACTGTTTCACCACCCTCATTGTAAAAAAATTTCTTCCTTATATCTAGTCTGAATCTCCCCCCTTTTATTTCAAAACCATTTCCCTTTGTCCTATTGCTAAAGGCTCTGCTAAAACATTTGTCCCCACCTTTCTTGTAGGCCCCCTTCAGGTACTGGAAGGCCGCTATAAGATCTCCCCAGAGCCTTCTCTTCTCCAGGCTGAACAATCCCAACTCTCTCAACCTGTCCTCATAGGAGAGGTGCTCCAGCCCTCTGATCATCCTCATGGCCTCCTCTGGACCCATTCCAACAGGTCCATGTCTTTCCTGTGCTGAGGATTCCAGAGTTGGATGCAGTATTCCAGGTGAGATCTCACCAGAGCAGCGTAGAGAGGCAGAATCACCTCCCTCAATCTGCTGGCCATGCTTCTTTTGATGTAGCCCAGGATACAGTTGGCTTTCTGGGTTGTAAGTGCACACTGCCAGCTCACGTCTAGCTTTTCATCCACTCGTACCCATAAGTCCTTCCCCACAACTTGGAAAGCAGCATGTACAAACCCTATTTATGTATCACCTCCCCTAGCTACCACCTCTACCAACATGCAAGGTACCAGAGCAGCATAAACCACCCCTCTGCTTCATCCTCCTCACGTCCCTTCTCTCCTTCCTCAAGCTTTGTAAATAAAAAAATTAAACTTACTAATTTAAATTTAAATTAATTAAAATTATTAAATTCAAATACAAATAAATAAAAACTTTGTGCATTACCTACAGCCAGAGGTACTCTCATTCAAAACTTTCCAAGACTTTCCTAATTGCAACCTTTGTGTCAATAACAATGTCTATGTAGGTATCGCAAATGTAAATAAAAAACAATAGGCCCTAAAATTCCAAGATGAGAAACCATGAGAGGCATCATGCAGGTGATGTAGGTGCTTGGCAATCCCTAGGAAAGTCACTGAGGAGCACACAGCTTACATTGCTGCTGAAATAAGCAGCCTTGCCTGCACTTCAGCGCCTCTCCCCTTTGTGGAGACTGTTCAACAGCCAGCTCAAACACAGGCTCACCTTATACCAAATCCTCCTTCAACAACTTCTCTCTCTTACTCACTCATGGGAATCAGACATTAGGTCTGCGTCAGAACAAAAGACTATGTCCAGCCCTCCAGGCTCTCAGTATAATTCTTTGGTATTTTACTTTTGACCACAGTTTACCATATTTTACCTCAGTTCTGAGTGGAGAAATGGAACAACCTTGACTGATGTTAACTCTGAATCTGCATAAAAGTGTAACACAGAGGAATTAGCTTCCACAGCAAAGCAAACACTGGTTCCCGCAACCTAGTTTTCCAGAAGCTTTTTTAAATCCTTAGTGAAAACACTTAAATATGCATCACCTTATAGATACTCATCAAATGACATTTCTCACAAAAAGGTCCTCCAGAAAGAGACTCCTCATATTCTCATAAGTAAAACAGGCTGCTTCTACACTTTATTGTGATTTTAAATAGTTTCAAACATTTTATATAGTTTCAAAACAGCTCACATAGAAATCTCTGCCTAATGGACCAAGGGTCCCCAAAGTCCTGTCAAGTGTTCCCCATCTCTTACATGCAATTTGTGTTGGGGACATTCTCTAGAGAGCCACTGTCAGGGATGTTTGGATGTGGACACAGTCAGTAAAGCTCCACACAAGCCAATTAACTGGGGGTTAAAATAGCAGGTAGGCTTTGTTAAAAAGATGAAGGGCATGGGTGTCACTGAGCAACCTTAAGCAACTGGTAGGTCCCATACACTGCAGTGCTCTCTTCAGAAGATACACTGTTTATTTCTCCTTCCTCAAAAGAGGGAGAGGTTGCAGTGAAAACATAATTTAATAATTTAATCAATCCAAAGCAAAAAGAATCAAATCAACAAAAACCCCCACACTATTTTATCCACTTTGCAGGAACCCTACAGTTCATGGGCTCCATGGTACCACCAAGAGGTCTCAGGAAGGCTTCTGGAAAACTGAAACGCAGGATTAGGGGGCAGTAATAAATAGACAACCAGTCGTTTTATGAAGATTTTAAAACAGAATTGCTTATATTTTAGCTTTTAAATAACAATTGGCTTTGGTTTCCTAGTCAAGAGTGATAATAAACTAGACTTCTGTCTTCAGAAGGAGCATGATGGTATTCAAGTCAATCGGCAGCACACGTATATTTTTGACCACCCTTATGTTTAAGTTACCTTTAAAAAAGCAGCCCCCATGCCTAAATAGTCAATAAAAAGTTGTCCTGGGTAAAAAGTCTTTTTTTTTTTTTTCAGTAGAGTATCAGAAGTTCTTGTGGTTTCTGAAGCTTTCCTTCCATTTTTCCAAGCAAGGTGTCTGATCCCATTGTCTTCAATGATGCTTTGTCTGACTAAAATCTACGGTTAATGGAGTTGGTTCACCACACAGTTGGCCACATGCAGTTGAGCAGCAACACAGTCTACCTTTTCATCATACAGGTGGAAAAACTCTCACAATAAGTGAAAAATTTCTTAAAATACCTAGTCATGCAACTTCCATCAGCCTGATACAAATCACCTGATTAACACTCTATTTTCAAGAATAACAAATACACTGAAAAATTGAAGCCCTTGATCTAGAAACAAAGATATAACTCTGCTTCTCTTGCCTGTTCTGCTCTTTAATAACAGTCTCAGTATTTTTAGCCTGCTGGTATATTTACAAGATTCAAAACAGCCAACTGGTGGCTTTACAGTAATGAATAAAATTTACATTCATTTAATTAACACCCAGCACCACCGCTACTATAAACTCTAGTAAGCATCTCTGCATAGCTATGAATATCTAAACACCTTTTGAAAGTCAGACCAAATTTCTCAGGAATGCTTAGAAAGACATTCATAATAGAATTATATAGCCAGACTATCCAAATCCCACAGCCAGGAACACAAGTCACTGAACAGCTAGGATCAAATTCTGCCCTGCTCAGAGGGCCTGCAGCAGCTTGCATTACTTTGCCTTATCAAGTCCTCAAAACAGAGCTCACATTAAAATATATTAAATGACTGCAAAGGAAATTAATACAATCAAGGTCACATATGGAACATAGCTGCCAAATAAGGTAGTTCCTTGTCCATAAAGTATTTTCCCATGTATTACAAAGTTTTGGTACAGCAAGGTGAATTTTTAACAGGAGACTAACCACACAAAGCTTTTATTTCCAACAGCATTGTCAAAATGCGTCTTAAAGACCATTTAAGCTTTAAGTTTGCATAATTTGTTTGTTTTTTTTTAAAGCAGAGTGCATGCAAATTGATTGCAGCACTTCTATTGGGGGATTATTTCAACAGCCTATTCTTGGGTAGCTGACTTGTAATGTTTCAAGGTGCGAGCAGAAGGATCAGTAGCTTTAACCCATCTAGGCATCCAGTAGTGGGGCAGCCAGTTGCCTTGCCCCGGGTAGTGCTTTTCAAAGATCTGGCGGTAATAATAACTTTCTTTTGTTTTAGGAGGATTGAAAGGATATTTCTCTACTGCCTTTTCCAGCAGAAGGTCATCAACCTATAGACATAAGCAAAACTCAAGTTAAGCTGCAAATACATTTAACTTTTACAAATCAATTTGCTGCAAGTTAAAGACATACAAGAATTCACCAATCACTGAATGCACACAGGTTTGGGTTTGTGGTTTGGTTTTGTTTTTTCAGAAATTCTATTCTAGAGGCAGAGGTTTCTGACAGGTGAATTTTTGTCATAAGCTCCCTTCATCTTTATGAATGCATAACTATACTTCCAGTTCTCCAATATTTTTCTCGGCATTAAATGTGAAGCCCATTTCTCTTTGGGTTACAATCACCTTTGCTAGTAACTCACAAAAACCATATTTCCTATCCTTCTTTTTGCTGTGAATCAACCGGAACAACTTAAAACAGTCTTTTTGCCATGTAAGCGGCTTCCTGGTTTTTTTTTTCAGCTCACGAAGAGCTGTTGACTCTGCTTGTATAACCAAGCTCTTAGCAACAAAAGACCTGGGATGCAGAGACAAAGACACCTGCAGTTGCTAAGCTGGCTAAGAAAGGAAAGATGAATAGTTGCACCAGTTGAGGCAATTTCTAAAGCAGCTAGCTTCTACTGCCAGCATGCTGTCTAACTCCTCACAGCCATGAAATAAATTTGCCCCTACTACACCAATACAGGCAGCACAACACCGTTGCCTGACCCAACTACTTTCTTGCCTGTGGATATACAGAAAGAAAATGGGAAACAAGCAGTTGGTGGGAGGACAGACAAGCACCGGTTCACAGGCCAGAGTACACGTATTTCTGCAGAACAGAGCTCTGGTGTAATGTGGGTGTTATTACTTCCTCTCAATGATTACTACACTAGAGATTATTATCCTTTGTCCAAAGCCAAGACACTGTAAGTCTTCACTTGTTAGCAATGCAAGCAGGGGCTTTAAAAAGCAAAAGGGCTTAGCTAGGCATGGCTGGGAAAAACGAATGAAAGGACATTATAAAGTCATTATGCTGTTACTCAGCTGCAGAGTAAGTTCATGCAAGTGCCTTCAGCTGAAGCAGCTGCTTTGCCTGTAACCCAGAAATTGTATTTGCCAACACACAATCTAATTTGCAATCCACATACTTAAATGATGTTCATTTCCTCACACAGTCATTTCTATCAGGCTCTAGCATTTCTTTGTATCTAGGATTTCAAATGCCTTTAACCAACTCAGATAGCTAGACGACTATTGATTAAAGTTTATCTTGCTCCTCCATCATAAAGTTCAGGTTACTGTCATACCCAGATTTATTCTCCCAAACAAGCATGTGAGTTGCCTCCCCTTGGCAAACATACCTAATACAACTAAATGTGAAAGACACAAAAAAAAAAGTGGCATTGTACCTGTTGATCAATATAGTCCTGAAGAATAGAAAACCAGGATTTCTTTACTGATGCTATACCATCACTGAAAGCTTCTTTGGGTCTCCAGAGAATTTCTTTTGGAAGCAAATTGGAATCTTCAAAGGATTGTCTTAAAAGGTATTTTTCAATTCCATTCTGTTCGCAGAACAACAAACAACATCATGAGTCTCAGGAACTACAGTACAAAGATCTGGCTTTAAATACTTAAAAAGTGGTTTCCTTTCAGAAGGACTGGTTCCCAGGAGTTCAACAATCCAGCAAAATATTTAAGAGCATGCTTGACTTTGGGTAGAGGACTTAACCACTGAATTCAGCAATTTGGTCATGCTTGTAACATGTATCATTGAATTTGTAAACTTACACTTGGGTCCAAGCCTAGTTTTACATACCTTTGGGATTCTCAGTTCTGCTGGTAGAGATAAATAATAAGAAGTAAACCGATGATCCAAAAATGGGACTCTCAGTTCAAGACTAAACGGGGGGAATAAATAGAAAAGATACTGAATTAATCCAACAAGTCATCTACTTATAAATTCCGTAACTGTTACACTTTCCCCATCTTTCACATAAACACAAAGTTTTCTGCTATTCCTTAGAAGAAATTTCACTTGCATATTCATGACTATCTGCATTTAACTAATCAATTTGGAAAGAAAGCATACGGTCCGCACAGATTAAATAAAGATCTCACAATGTATGATGCCATCTGCTGGACAGCTTCTAGCACAATGATTCAAAGGCTGCAGTCCTGCAGGATTTGCAATAACCGTTGTTCCACATAAGCAAAAACACATTGAAAAAAATCCTGTTGCCCCCAAAGAACTACAAAGTTGCTCACTGGGATTTGCATCAGCATTTGTAAAATATTACAGAACCATGCAAGGATTTCTGCTTTCATTTCTGAAATCCACATTTCTTCGTGTTTTCAAGAAACTTTCATTGTTTTGTTGCCCAGAAAGACACCATTAAGCTACTGACTACTGATCCTGCAGCAACTGCACAATCTCTGTTCTATATCAGTGTCAGAGATACATGTACAAAGTCTCCCTGCTTACATTCTTATGCATACCACGGTTCTAAGGACAGTGAAGGCAACAAATAAAATTACAGTAACTGTGTCTTTAGCAGGAAGAACCCTTCAGTGTGTTTCCTCAAGAGACATTATGCTGGCTAGCTTCAAAGTTAAATGGAGAAGTTACACTGCATTCTAGTAATTTCATTGTCTCTGTAGCTTCTCTTCTGATAAAAAGCTTCAACTACTTCAGGTAATACCCACCTTACAAAACAAACAAACAAACAAAAGATTACAGCTTTCACATTTCCAAAGCAAAAGAAAGAAACAGAATAAAAACAAACAAACAAGAAGGAAGAAAAATCAGTTATTTTTTTTAACTCATAAAGTTACTTTCATCCTTTGTCCTATCATTTCCTCTCTACTCTTAATTCCTTTCCCTTTTCTCCATAAACCTGAACACCTTAAATTCAGCTTTATTTCATTAATACAAGGGTTCTTTCTTCCTAGCAGTGCTGTGAAGGTTACCTCAGCTTCTCTTCAAGAAATGGCAACTCTCCAAAGAAGAGCAGCCAGAGTGTGATATTAAACAGCCTTGAATATTAAACAGCCTGTGGCCAAACTTTTCAGCACAAAACAAATTATGAGGCAAACGGCAGGTCTCCTGCACCTTATCCATCTTTTATATAGGAAAGAGAAATATAAAAAGGTTATAAAAACCTGGGCAAGTCATTCTGTGGCTGGATCAATATACAACACAAATTTCCTGATAGGTAAGTTGTTTGCTTTGCCAAAGGTACCATCTTTTTCTCATCTATAACCAGCTTCTCAACAATACTCTCCTTTAATTCATGCATTTCTTTAGCAAAATAATGTTATTTTCTGCAATGTAAAATTTGGTGATTGTTTATGCTATCAGTCCCACAGACTGTATCCTAACATCTCTTAATTATAGTCAGCTACGTCAGTCAATGCACACACTTTTCTTTTTCAGTTTATTTTTTAATTCTTCATATGCAAGCTGATTATCAGATTCAAGATTCCTCTTTGTCTAAATCTCAAAAAACCCAAACTCAAATACAAGTCTGCCTTCCTTCCCTTACTCCTCACATTTATATTTCTACTTCACTGCTTCTATAAAGACCAGTACAATCCCAGACAAAAGAGAATTCCTGCATTAGTTGTCAACACAGTGGGCTCCAGTCACGGAAGACTGGATTAAATGTTGCAGAGTGGTATGCTGTTGCTCAAATTCCTTCAGGCTACAAATTAAATTTTAAAATCATAGAATTATTTAGGTTGGAAAAGACCTTTAACATCATCAAGTCCAACCATTAACCTAGCACTGCCAAGTCCACCACTAAACTGTGTCCCCAAGTGCCATATCTACATGTCTTGTAAATACCTCCAGGGATGGTGACTCAACCACTTCCCTGGGCAGCCTGTCAATGCTTGACAACCCTTTCCATGAAGAAATTTTTCCTAATATACAACCTAAACCTCCCCTGGTGCAACTTGAGGCCGTTTCTTCTCATCCTGTTGCTTGCTACTTGGAAAAAGAGACACCTACCTTGCTACAGCCTCCTTTCAAGTAGTTGTATAGAGCGATTAAGGTCTCCCTTCAGCCTCCTTTTCTCCAGACTAAACCACCTCAGTTTCCTCAGCCACTCCTCGTAAGACTTGCACCCTAGACCCTTCACCAGCTTCACTGCCCTTCT